GGGGTGTGCCTCCTGACACACATCCTTGCTGTGTTGCCTCGGTTTCCATGTCAGGGTGGCCCATTGAGTCAGGGATGTTTTCTGAATTGACTGGATTGATGGGAGCTTCCCTCGACTTTAAATTAAAGGCAGCACAGGTGTGTGTGGGAGGCCTGGTGGGGCCCTGTACTATCTGAGAGAGCCGCGTCAGCCGCTGAGTAGATGTCAGAGACCATCCCTGCTTAAAGGCCGCAGGTATTTAGCCGCACAAGCAAACACCAGCGCTGACCTCGGAGAAAGTCTCTTCAGCAGCCCCTTCTGGGTGACTTCTAAACAGAAATCGGCTTTGTTCCCGATTTAGCCTGACCTCTCTCTCCATGTGTGTTTGTCCCTCAGACTGCTGGGTTCAAACACAGACGTCCCGCTGCGTGTCCTGTGCACTGTCTGCCTGCTTTAGTCGTTTTCACTTCTCATTACTAAACTCTGCTGTTACCCTTCGTCATCACTTAAATCCGTTTCTACCAGGTCGATCTTAAGAATCCATTCAAATGTTATTTCACTGTTTTAAAAGCTTTAAGTTTCTTAGAATTTATTCTTTGTCTTAGTTTATTTTAATTGAATAATTCCCGAATGCCACCAGGCCATGAATGTCATCATGTTGATTCTTTTGTATCTTTTATGAGATTTTCCTCTGGGTCGGGCTTACGTAAGCATCTTGTGTAGCCCTTAAAAAGAACTAAGACGTAGTGTCCTGAGCTCTGAGACTCCAGGCTCCTGGCAGCCTGCCGTGGCGATAGCAAGTCCCCTTTTTCCCGCACTTGATTTTCCAGTTTTCTCTCACAAACGTCGTCCTGGTTCACTACAACCACCCTTTTCAGCTGGATGTTCAGATCACGTGAAAGCTGAGGAAAGAGAAGTTCGGACAGATCAGACACCCTGTGCAGGGTCAGTTCCCGAGGGGCAGGGCCTGGGTCACACACAGACGTCCAGCATCAGACTTCATGGTGTTGCCTGGTGCGGCCTCTGGGTTGCTGTAATTCTGAATTTCAGCATGAATGTGAAGGTGCCTCCCAAGAGCCCCCGGAGATGGACTTCAGGGGCGAGGATATGGGTCCCACTGTCCTAGGAGGGCTGCTGGCTGTGCTCCTAAATGAGGTGCTGGCAGTGCAATGCCAGGGGCTTCCTGGCAGGGACTCTGCAGCGTCTCCACCTTGTTGGACCCCTGGAACCCTGACGTGTCCCTGGTCAGCTGTACCTGGTGGTCAGTGGGCACTATGGCTCTGCTGCCTTTCCTGGAATCTGAGGGTTTCTACTAGCTCCTGTTTCCTGGTCTCTTCTGGCTGTGCCCTCCAGCCCCGGCTACATCCTGGAAGGTACCCTGAGCCCCCACGGAACCCGCACTTACCCCCAGCGTGATGCCAGCACTCAGGGAACTTGGGGGCAGTCCTAGCGGCTGACAGCCCTCTTGGTCCTTGCATAGCAATTTGGGGTTGGGGTGCTCACCCCTGAGAATTTTCCCTTCCAACCAGGATACTCCCAACAGGGTTACAGTCCAGAGGCCCTCTGGGATTGATGGTTCACGGGTGAGAGCTACTTTGTTTTAAAGACCTAAATTATTCTAAAGGAACGTCTATAGAGCCTGTGTGGCATGGGAGGAGCAATAGAATTACGGACGTCTTTTTCAAGAGTTCACCAGTGGAGCATTTTCTGCACTGACATCGTAAGCCATAGTAACTTCTCATTTTGATGCCACAAATGAGATGCGAAGACAACAGTTACTTGTTGAACAGCAGGATATTCCTAGGTGAACGGTTAAAAGCTTGGAATGTGCTTTGATAGACTTTGATACGTAAAACACAGAACAGAAAAGGAGGTTCGCGTGTACCCGAGTTTGCATTACGGATTTTTAAATGCCAGCTGTGCGGGAATTTCTGTGCTCAGTTTGAGACATTGGGACCGACGTTCGTTGTGACTGAGAGCGTTGAGCAGGGCCAGTGTCAAGAGCGGGCAGAAAGTTGCAGGCAGACAGGCTCGGAGCCCATCACCGCGTCAGGGAACTGGTGGTGGGAGAGGCAGCCGGGAAACGGGGACGTCCTGCCGTGCTCTGGGGGGCTGCTGCATCTTCTGTTATGTGATAATAAGAAAATTCAGTGCTTATATCTTTGGGGTTTGAAGTGTTGGCACGCAAGAAAAATGAGGTGTATTTTCTAAAGCTCTTGATTTGAAAGAGAAAAAAAGTACATAAAAACGAGATGACTTGGACTGTTTTCCCCAAACAGATATTTGGAAACTGGACATTTGGGACACTGGTATTCACTGTGATGGTGTTCACAGTCACACTAAAGGTAAGTGGTCTCACACTCACGTTCCTCCCCCAGCCACAGTGAACCCCTGCAGGGTAGGCCTCACCCGCTCTGAGCTCTCTGAATTGTAACTCCGTACCCAGGCTGGAAGCCACTCTGCACCCAGCCCAGGCCGGCTCCTGGGGCACCCCTGGGCATCCTCGTCTTGCTGTTTAGACAAGTAATGCACAGACTCAGTACACCCCGCCACCCCGCGTGCAGACCCCAGAGCGACACCAAAGGTAACCTTGGGAGCGAGCTGCTTCTTCGTGAAAGAATTCAGAAAGAATTCAGGCTAGAATTCTTTTCAGCGGCAGGTAGCCCTCCCTGGCAGCGCCATCAAAATACATTTGAATTGAAACAAATTAATGTATTTTGGAAAATTTTACTCTTTTTAAAGTCCAGTGAAGTTCTGTACAGACTATTATCATTATGAAATCTCAAAACCTATCAGACTGAGTCTTAAAAAGTGATACCGAAACATTCCTAAGGTGATTTTCTTAGATAGTGATATAAACAACACCTGACTCTAAAGGAACTTTCTGGCCAGGCACAGTGGCTCACGCCCGTAATCCCAGCACTGTGGGAGGCCAAGGCGGTGGATCACCTGAGGTCAGCAGTTCGAGACCAGCCTGGCTAACATGCCAAAACCCCGTCTGTACTAAAAACACAAAAAGTAGCTGGGCGTGGTGGCAGGCACCTATAATCCCGGCTACTTGGGAGGCTGAGACAGGAGAATCACTTGAACCTGGGAGGTGGAGGTTGCAGTGAGCAGAGATCATACCACTGCACTCCAGCCTGGGCAACAGAGGGAGACTCTGTCTCAAAAAAAAAAGAAAAAAGTAACTTTCTTAGGTAGTGACATAAAGAACACCTTAATCTGAATGACTTTCTTCGGTGGTGATATAAACAACACCTTGGTCTGTGGCCCTCATGCCGCCATCTGGGAAATGCATCCATGGCTCCCTTCCCCGGGACCCGGGGCTCTGGCGTCCCCATGTTCTTCCTCTCCACGGGCAGTGTGAGGTGTGCCTTTGTGTTCCTGAGCATTTGTGTGTGGGCATTGGGTCGTCACTGCTGGGTCTGTGTTTGGTTTAGTCTTTCATCAGCCCCTGGCTCTCTGTCCTGCCTGTCACGATCATTCTGACTGCTCGGGTGACACCGTTAACTGCCCTTTTTTCCTTTTAGCTTGCGTTAGACACACACTACTGGACTTGGATCAACCATTTTGTCATCTGGGGGTCGCTGCTGTTCTACGTCGTCTTTTCGCTCCTCTGGGGAGGAGTGATCTGGTAAATATCTATAAGTAGCTGATAATCTGATAAATATCACGTGATTGTTATTACCTTAATAGTCCTGCACTATTTTTTTATCAAGGATTGAAGACACATTTTCCGTGCAGCCTCGTTGGTTGTGGCCAGTGTTTGTTGAACACCTGCTGTGTGCTGGGCGTCATGTGGGGTCCTGGGATATAGTCGGGGCCAGACACGGGGAGTCCCTGCTCCTGTGACTTGCACCCTCAGGGGAGAGAGACACTAACTGATAACAGCTTGTGACGAGTTATACGGAGGAACAGACCAGGATTCTCTACCAGGGGACCTATGTCAGATTAAAAGGCCAGAGATGACTTCTCAGAAAGTCATCTGAAACCTAAAGAACACCATCATCACCGCAAGTCCCAGCTGGTAACTGCCTCCCACAACGAAGCACCCGCCAAGCATTGGACAGGTCCTGTCTCACTCTATCCTCACGCCCCACAGCAAGATGGGGCCCAGGCATGGTGGGGCTGGACCTTGCCCGCAGCAGCCTGACTCCTGGGGGAGCCTCTGGTTCCGGGGAGCAGCAGCAGGCACGCAGTCCCGGGTGGGAGGAGGTCCTCGGTGAGTGGGAGCCGTGGCCAGCGGACAGGGCCTGGACCAGGCTGCAGAGCAGGCAGGGTGGCCTCCTGGACCGCCGGCCGTGAGGATCCTAGCTTGAGGCTGTCATGGTCAGTCAAGCCATTGGAGGGCTATGGGCAGAGCACAGCAGAGTTGGGTGGCTCTTAAAAACCCCACGGTGGCTGCATGTTGAGCTGGTGAGAGCGATATAGGCAGGGTGGTCAGAGACTGTTGCCATAAGCCAGGAAAGTACGCAGGGTGGTGGGCCCAGGACCAGGTCCCAATCTCAGCCCCAGCGCAGCAGCCTCTGCCACAGCCCTCTGCAGACCTGGGGTCAGTCGCCGGCCTAGGGAAAGCCAGCGACCTTCTCGGGATCCCTCAGGGCCCCTGACCTGGGCGGGATTCTCAGCTCAGGAAGTGTCCCTCCCGATTACCTCGTTCAGCCAGCGGCCCCTGGTGGCCCCAGGTTGCATTACACAGTCCCAGAGATGAGCGCCGAGCTTCGAGGATTTCAGTCACCCTGCCAGCCCCAGGGAACCCTGCTTGGCTCTAGAGAGCCCAGCCCAGCTCCCGAGAGCCCGGCCATTCTAGCAGCCCTGAAGGCCGTGGCTCTGTAAGAGGAAGATTCCGTCCCAAAACCTCTCTGACCAGCTCCTGGGCTTTGGAACCGAGGAGCACAGCCCATCAGCCTTGGTAGAACCATGGCCTCCACATTGTTTCCTAAAACATTGACCCCGTGTCTCTGATGTGCTGGGAGCCCACCGTGTCACCACCACTTGGTGATGAGACCCCATCCTCCTGCCCACCACCAGCACCTCAGGGGTGCCTCCAGCCCCGTCCCAGGCCTGCCAGCAGCTCCACGTCCCTCCCGTTACCCACCACGCTCTGCTCCCGTTTCCCTCCTGTTGTCCACACGCCAGTGTCACTGTGCTTCCTGGAGGCGGGGCCCTGTCTCTGTGTCTCTACCACCGTCCATAGTGCCTGGGATGTGAAAGGCGTCAGGAAACTACCGGAAGGCACGTGTAGACGTGGACCTGTGGACTCAGGCTGGCTGCGGGTCACCAGTCCCTGCGTCCGCGCCAGCCTCCCTCTTGGAGCCGACACAGACATCTTTGAGTTATCCTCCTTCTTGGGAGAGAAGTCATTGCTTGCTCCGTATTGACGACCGGTGCTCGGCACGTCCTTCCCATCCGAGACTTCAAGATAGAAAAACATCCCTATTTCAATCCCTTTTTTTTTGCTTCTGTGAAACTGAACTTCAGAGACTTCTGTGTTCCCTTTGAGATGACGTCATAGAATTCCTTCTCCCGTCCCTGTTACCCCAGCATTACCAGGAGGTTCCGCGTTCATTTTTTTTTTTTTAAGACGGAGTCTCGCTGTGTCTCCCAGGCTGGAGTGCAGTGGCGTGATCTCGGCTCACTGCAAGCTCTGCCTCCCGGGTTCCCGCCATTCTCCTGCCTCAGCCTCCCGAGTAGCTGAGACTACAGGCGCCCGCCACCACGCCCGGCTACTTTTTTGTATTTTTAGTAGAGACGGGGTTTCACCATGTTAGCCAGGATAGTCTCGATCTCCTGACCTCGTGATCCACCCGCCTCGGCCTCCCAAAGTGCTGGGATTACAGGCTTGAGCCACCGCGCCCGTCCCCGCGTTCATTTTTTATATGATAAACTCAGAGCAGGCTCCGTGGCTTGCCAAGCGACTCTCACTGACAAAAGTGTGAACTCCCGGAACAAACGCCCTCTCCAGTGCGGAGAGAGGCCGGCCCCAGGGAGCACATGCCTCACCAGCGGCTTCTCTTCCCTGCCCCTCAGGCCATTCCTCAACTACCAGAGGATGTACTACGTGTTCATCCAGATGCTGTCCAGCGGGCCCGCCTGGCTGGCCATCGTGCTGCTGGTGACCATCAGCCTCCTGCCCGACGTCCTCAAGAAAGTCCTGTGCCGGCAGCTGTGGCCAACAGCAACGGAGAGAGTCCAGGTACGGAGCGTCCCAGCCGGGGCAGGGGTGCTTCAGGGCCCTGGCCTCAGGACTAGGAAATGATCACTTTGAAAGATAGTGTGAAAGGTTTGGATTTCATAAAACGTGATCAGTTCACGTATCACTAATGAGTTTCTTAATGATACATGATTTTAAACATCAGGTAAATTTGAGATGACTGGTGTTTAATTTTATGTTTCAACCTAAACATTCAGATTAAACAATAATCTGAAATAAAACACAAATAAGAGAAAAAAGACTAATACAAAAGGCAAATTATTTCATGTAAATGCAACCCTGTTTTAAAATTAATCATTACTTTAAAAGGTTAAATTACGTAATTTTTAAGGATGGTAAATTTGGCTGAAAACGGTAGCATCTGTATCAGGAAATGCTGGTATTGGTGGAGCTGCTTATTTTCCACATTCCCAAGTTTTAGCCACAAGCAGAATTCTGGGTCTGGGGAAGACATGACGATACCGAGTGCCCCCTCAGGTGCAGAGGGTTCGGCGGGTGTGAGGACTTGGCCTCCGCCCCATCCTTCTCAGCAGCTGGGCTCTGACTTCAAGCTCAACCCCAAGTCAGAGGCAGTGACCACGTCCCCTACTCTGCTGCTTTACCAGGAAGCCTGCCTGTCCTCGGAGGGCCGCTGCACCTGTCACAGTCCCTCGGGACTCTGTTAACAATGCGGGTTTTCAAGTTTCATCCCTGAAATTTCTAATCACTCCGTGAGGTGGGGCCCTGGACTGGGCAGTGCTGAAGCCCGGTGGGGACACGAGGGGTGGGAGACCCCCGGCAGTGGCCGCCCCTTCAGGGTGTGAGGCCGCCCAGGATGGACACAGCGGTGCAGTTGGGAGGAAGACGGGAAGCGAGGAGGCCCGGGGCCCCAGGCCTGACTCACTCACGCAGCTCAGACACTTGGAGGCTGGCTCCCAGCAGTGCTGCCGTGCTGGGAGGGAAAACAGGTCGCCCTCCCTTAAGGGGCGCAGCCCCACCCACCACCCACCTCTAACAATCAGAATGGGACCCTGGCTTGAGAGCTTTCTTGCCGATGTAAAATGTTGAAACCAATGCTGCCAGTTCCCGGCACTCCCTCCTTCATGCCTCCTGCCACAGTTTGTAAAAAAGAGCGAGCAAAACTCGTGGTGAAGAGACCCCCACTCAGCGTAGTGAAAATGTCCACACACAGCTCCACTGACTCGGGGACCACAGGCAGGAGAAACGCAGCAGAACCTGCATGTCAGCTGCTGTGTGCAGGGAGGGGAGCCAGTGGGAACAGGAGCCAGGGCCCAGGTTGAGACTCCACGGCCCCCAGTGCTTCAGGGGAAACTCATTGCTGCCAAGCAGCCACTGCCCAGCCCTGCCTGTGGCCCGAGAAGCAGCTGTCCAGTGGTACTTTTCTGTAAGCACAGTCCTTGGTTCCTGAGCCCTTTAGCCGTGCAGTTCCACAGCGGGCACACGTGTTCATGACAGGGCTCTGTGCATGGAACACGTGTTCATAACCACATCCCATACATGGGGACATGGCAGACACGCATGTCACAAGGACACAAGGCACAGAGGAGACAGCAGGGCTGTGGGTCTGACCCTGAGAGAGAACAGGTCCAGCTTGGGGGTGTTTCCTGAGCCCCCAGCTGTGGCCACAGTGGTGTGGCTTGAGATTTACGAGAGTCTCGGCCCCACCTGGCCCCTGGGTGCGTGTGGCTGCAGAGGTGCCTGGTCAGAGATGCCTGAGCAGGCAGGAGTTGAACTCGGGGGGTCAGGAGGGCCTGTCCCCGCAGGAGTCTGGGGTCTTCCATGACAGTGTGCATGCAGCCTCGAGTCGGGGCTGCCGAGGGCCACGCCCCCAGACGCATCTGACCACAGGCCCTCTGCTCTGCGGCACATCTCCAGGATGGGCGGGTCTCAGGGGGCACTTTGGGAATGCCAGTGAGGACCCTCCCCGTCCCACCCTTTGTTCAGAAGCCCCTGTTTTGCTGTGGGTCTCTGCATCCCACAAAAGCCTCGGCAACCCTTATGAACAGCCACACAGTGGGACCTGCAGAAGGCATAAAGCAGGGAGTGGGAGGGGCTGGCGGGTCATGGCAGGGGGCACCAGTGTCCACCTAGAGTGGCCAGAAGAACGTGCACATGGTGGCGAGCCTCTGACTAACTCAGCTCTGTCTGTTGTTTCTCTTTCCTTCCTGTTTCCTTCCATCTTCCGACCACTTTGCCTAAATCCCTACACCTTGTTCACACACCCCTCTGTGCGTGGCCGCTGACCTCGGAACTCAGACTAAGAGCCAGTGCCTTTCTGTCGAGCAGTCAACCATCTTTATGCTTTCTCAGACTTCCAGCAGCCTGAGTTTCTGATGGAACAAGGTGATGCTCCTCTGCCTTCCGCACGCTTGGGATGGTAGACGCGGGGCAGCAGGGCCATGCCTGTCGCCAGAGCCCCGAGTCCACGCGCTCCGACGCAGTGTCCGCCAGGCGCTGGGCACGGCAGCCCCACGTCAGGAAGCCCCACCACCTACTTACACCTTCACATGCACAGACCGATCGTGAGCTGTGCTTTCCATCAGTCACAGTTAACCAGGGTTTCTCCCTCAGCGTCCAGGCAGCCTCAGAACCCACCTGTGAGGGCTCAGACACGGCTGACAGCACAGACCGGCCACACGATCCGTCACACAGGTGTCAGAGAGGCTCCTGTGCAGGAATCCTAAGCAGGAAGGTGTGAGAGTTTGCAACTGACAGGTCATCCAGGCCCTGAGCTCACATACCCTGCCCTCCGCAGCCTGTAGAGTGTGGATCCTCCCTCACGCACCCACTTCTGTGCCCATTCTGCAGCTGGAAAGACTGACGACAGCTAGGATAACACGGTTTGCTCAGGACCCACGCACATTTCAGAAAAGGGGAGCCAGGCTGAGCCACACAACTGGAGACAAAGGGGACAGAGGTGTTTGGTGTCAGATGTTCGACCAAATTCTCTTTTTACTGTTTTTTGAATGAAGACCTCTTTGAAAGCTTTCTGTTAATAATGTGCTTTAAAAATGACGGCCCTGGCCTTTCTGGGCAGCGTAGAGGCATTCACATGCCATTTTCCTGCGGTGGCATCCGTGGTCAGAGCCGAGATTGCAGGGGCCTGCGTGCCGTCCTGAAGTCACGTTCTGTCTTTCAGCCGTGTGCTCCGGCACCAAATCCCGCGTTCACGCATGCCTCCAAATTAATGGTGCTCTGAAAATGCATGTTTGGTATTTTACTGTTTTACCAAATGCAGCCTAGAAAAATGCCCAGAGCAGAAAGGGCTTTTTTTCCCTTTAATAACATCATCTTCTATATATTTTAAACACCATTTTTAACTGACAAAATGGTCCTTTTTTAAGTCCAAGCAATTAATAGGAATCAAAATTTTTCTAATTTAGTGTCATCAGAATTTGTTAGATTAAATTGCAGAATTTCATGTCACCATTTCTATACTTGAAAACATTAGGGATGAAATTATTAGGAACACTTTAATAACTCATAGGAGGTCCTTAAGAAACTAATTAAATCATGCCAACTCTAGGCTAAAAATATGCATTCTAACTATTGATGTAGTTTGTTGAGAGCTGATTTGCCTCTGAACATGTGCAGAAGCTGAGCCCGGCTGCCTGGAGACGGTGGCACAGAGGTTCGTTCTCCTGCCGGCTGCGAGGCCTCGGGCCCTGGCGTGACCCCCACAGGCAGGGCCGGTGTCCGCACCTGAACACAAAGCGCCTGCAGCCAGCACGTGCCCGGCACACACAGGAGCACACTGTGGTGCTGAGACCACCTGCGTTCTGCAAAACTTTGGAGGAGTAAACATGTCACTAGTCCTCACGTGGGGCATATTTTACTTCCAGTGGATGGTTTTCTTTTCATCTGTTCCTATGGAAAAGAAAAGCATCACAGGCCTGACGTCTATGTATGTGCGATTCGCACACATATGTCTGTGCTGGCATCTCTGCGTATCTGCATGCAGTTCGCCTCTCCATCCCTGTCCCCGGGACGGGTGGCAGCCTCACCTTTTGTTTCCTGCTGCTCCTCACCTGGGCGTTTGCCCATTCGGACCTGCAGTTCTTCAGCTCCCACGCTTCCCTTATTCCTTGAATGAGGCTGGGCTACGAGATCTCAGTGCTCTGTGAGCACGTTGGCCTCAGGACACTCTGCAGGGCCCTGGCAGAGCAGCTCCCGAGGCTCGCTGTCTGCCATGGAAGTGGGTGTGTGGCTGAACATGTGGCTCCAGGATTCCAGAGGTGCCCGGTGGACCTTCCAGCTGAGGGACCTGGGACCCTCTGCCTCCCACAGGTGCCGCGGCCCGTCCCTGAGCCTGTCACTGTCTCTCAGTTCTGGGCTTGGGCTCCTCATGGGAGCGGCCCTGCTGGGACAGTGTTTTCCCAAGACGCCCCTGAGCCCTTGCCGCTCCGTGACACCCCATGCAGACTCCAACAGAGGCTTAGTGCCTCTTCCTGCTGGGGTCCCACGGATGGTGCAGGTGGAGGCCAGAGCGCTCCTGGTGCTCGTGGGCACCGGCTCAGCAGCCCCGCGTGGCCCACGTTGCTCAGTGTCTTTCCTCGCCTTGCAGAGGGGCGTGAAGCACAAGGCTCCAGTCCAGGCCGCACAGAGCAGCGACGGGCCCCTCCTGAAGGACCTCCTACGGCGGCCAAGGCGCAGTTAGCTCCACGCTAGGTAACTGCGGCTGCTGCGTGCCGCCCGTGTGCTGTGACTGTCAGACCTGTTTTTCCTCCAAAGTTTTGCTGTGCTGTGCTGTGCTGTCTTTGATAACAAAGGTTCACGGTGAAAAAGAGCAGCTGTCTTTACACACACATGCATTTGCTGTCCCAGGTAAGTAACATGCCTGAGGGCAAGCCGACCACACATGGAACATGCTGTGCACACCCACACACGTGCACACTCCCCCCACACACAGCACGCAGCCTGACCGGGCCCAGCTTCGTCAGATACAGACTCACGGTCCTGGTCCCTGGGGGAAACGGCTTCACCTAAAAGGCGTCTCAGGAAGGAGCCTGCTTTGAAATCAAACGTGGATATTGCGTGGTTTGTGTGGAACTGGGGCCCAGGCAAGTGTGAGTGCAAGTCTTCTGTGTGCCAGCCGGAGCACGTAGCTTGTCGCCTCTCTGACAGACATGGAGGCCGTGAAGACGCCTGCTCCTGCCAGCATTTCCGGCACTGGAAATGCTGGTCTAAAAGTGGGCTGGTCTAAAAGTGGGCTGACCTGGGGACGGCCCCCCGTCAGACAGATGCGTGCTGCCAGCCTCTTGCCGCTCCCCTCGCTGGTCAGACCTGCAGGGCCCTTGCACGTCCGGGGCCCCAGTGGGCTGTCAGAAGCCATGTAGGCCCCATCCATGTGGTGACACCCAAGGCAACATGCCAACAGGACGCAAACTGAGCGTGTCCAGTACTCCATCAGCTCAGTCCCTGTGGGGTGGGGCCTGCCCTCTCTGGGGCAGTGAGTTCGCCTTTTGTTCGAGGGTCTCTGGGTACTGGTATAGCGTTCGAGCTCTCACTGCACAGGAAGCCAGCTATCGGGAGGAAACTCGTAGGTTTCCCGTCCATGGCCTGTATCCCTGGGGTCCCTGGGTTCTTCCCCTGGGATGGTGGGACAGGGGGACAGTCACTGTTGATACCGAAAAGGAGAGGCACTCGTTCCTAGACAGAGACCCCTTGCCTCTGTATGGCTTCTCCAGTGTCCTGAGCTGAGTCTAGCAGTTCCTGCAGGAGGCGATGGTAGTGAGTGCATCCCAGAGTGGCCCAGGTCACCCCAAGCAGCCCCGTGGGGATCCTTGAGACTGACCGTGTGTCTCATTCTCTCAGCAGAATGGGTGCGCACAGCCTCGGGACCGCGACTCAGAATTCACCCCTCTTGCCTCTCTGCAGAGCCCAGGCTACCAGAGCACCTGTCCCTCGGCCGCCTGGTATAGCTCCTGCTCTCAGCAGGTGACGCTCGCGGCCTGGAAGGGGAAGGTGTCCGTGGAGCCCCCACCCACGCTCAGCGGTTCCCGTCACCACTGCAGTTCCAGTCCGAGTCACAGCTGCCCTGGGACCCGTGTGCAGATGCTTGTGTGATGGATGGTCCTAAGCCTGTGGAGACCGCACACGCCTCTTCCTGGCCCCCAGGAGGCAAGGAGGGGGATCACAGGCCTTGCCCTCGAGTGTGGCACGCTGGCCGCCTGGACCCAGCGCTGCAGTTGTTGAGCCACACCGGTCCCCCCGGGCATTCGGCTCGACTCAGAAGGGACATCCTGCTGGCACACCCTGTGCGCTGTCACGCAGAGGCCATTCCCCCAGGCCCGTGTCTTCACCCACCTACCGTCATCGGCCTTTGCTGTCGCTGGGAGAGAAGAGCCATCCAGGCCCCCGGGGCGGCCATGTGTGGACACCTGCTGCTGTTCCTGCTCGCCCGGCCGCCACTCGTGCCCTCCATAGGGTGAGGTGGAGCTGTGGCGGCACGTCCTTTCCTCAGCAACCCTCCAATCCTCATGCTGTGGGAAGGGCCGGGTCACTCGGATGCCGTCATCCTTGCGGACGCACAGCCATGCCCTGTTCATCTGGGAGCGGCTTCCCTGTGGTTAAGTCCAAGCCTGCCTGCTCTGTGTGTCAGGGCTGGCTGAGTTTCGGTCTCCCCATCATCGCCTCGTGCAGAAAGCAGTGCCGTGTGGGAGGACAAGGCCACGCCAGTGGCTTCCAGCCCTGCAGCACAAGTGCCAGGATGTCCATCGGCCACTCACCAGAGCATGGAGCCGTCAGTCCACTGTTGCAGGAGAATGTTGATTTCGCGGGTGCGAGGGCCAGGAGACAGATACTTGACTATGATGGGCAGACATCCTCTGTCCCCCTGGAACGGTCACCACCAAGGTGGTGTTGGTGCCCCAGAACCTGTCTCGGGCTGATGGGGGCGGCCCACAGGACAGGGGTGGATCCCAGCAGGCAGCACTGCAGCTCCGCCCGCCTCCCACACTGCACCTCCGCCCGCCTCCCACACTGCACCTCC